GTAAGTCTAGTTCGGAACACATATATTCATATAAGTATAGTACTGATCACATATATTCATATAAGTATAGTACTGATCACACATATTCATGTAAGTATAGTACTGAACACATATATTCATATAGGTCTAGTACTGATCACATATATTCATATAAGTCTAGTACTGAACACATATATTCATATAGGTCTAGTACTGATCACATATATTCATATAAGTCTAGTACTGAACACATATATTCATATAAGTCTAGGACTGATCACATATATTCATATAAGTAGTACTGATCACTTATATTCATATAAGACTAGTACTGATCACACACATTTATATAAGTATAGTATTGATCGCCTATATTCGTATAAGTCTAGTACTGATCACATATTTCCATATAAGACTAGTACTGAACTCATATATTCATTGAAGTATGGTACTGACCACACATATTCTTTTAAGTATAAGTATATTCCCACTATTTCTGCATACATTTCTATCCTGCATGACTATATTCATTAGAGGGTTGTGGACAGAGCCTTGTGTAATACCACAGGTCAGTGCCCGCGGGTGTATGAGTCAGAGTTAGTCATTTATTTCTGTAAATCTTACTAAGAGTATAGCACCAGTAGTGGGAGAAACCCGCACAGCAGTTCCTCTCGCACACAACGGCGTAGGGACAAAATCAGTAGGTAGAATCGCAGATACTGCCCATCTTCGGTCCTACCATATGCGGCAAGAGGTATAGATGACGGTATTATCGCGTGAATACAGCAGCAATACGATCCACCGCAGAATCCGCGGTTCCCAAATATAGTAAGTGGCATTATGAAGGTTTGTACACATGGGTTTAAAATGGGGTTTTCGCAACACCCTGTCCCAACCAAAGAGTATAGGACCGTTGGAGGGCAGTGGGTGTGAATTGGACAGATGCCTTGCACACGAGTAGTATTGCACCAACACACACCCCACTCGTCTACGTGTTTGGTTCCTATCTCCCTGTGTACCCTGGTGGTTTTAGGTGCCATCTCTGCGTATGTCTCGGTCAGTCAAAAGGAGGGCAGGTTGGAACTTATTGGTTTGGTCTGCACACCGTCTATCTACATGGTAATTGACCCGTAATTTTTGCTAGCCAATCGATTCGCAGTGTTCAGACAACCCCATCCCCCCGGGAACCAATAACAACGCAGCATTCAACCACGAAAAACCGCACAACCAATCAAATCGCGATGATATGTACGGTCTCACATCACACCAGCTGTCTGTGTAACGGGTATTAAAGGGGTCCGTCTCAGACTGCTGGTCAGTCCCCCGTCCTCTTTTTCGGGTGCAGGATCGGTCTTTGCACCTGAATTGCGACGACTGGCCTTGTCCATCTCACTGATGGCGGCCTTCATGACCTTGCTCTCAGCCAAGTCATAGGCACTGCAACCCCCACAGTTCTCATAGTGCAGATCAGACCCTTTGGCCATAAAATACAGAGCGATGGCATCCTCCTCCTCAATCAGCGCCAGGTACAGTGGTGTGTTACCGTCCGTGTTCTTTGTGTCGAGCGTCTGTGGGTGGGGTGGGGTGGATTGGGTGGTGTGAGGGACCCCGGAGAGTATATTGTATGGGTGGGTATATTTGTATGGGTGGGTATATTGTATGGGTGGGTATATTGTATGGGTGGGTATATTTATAGGGGTGGGTATATTGTATGGGTGGGTATATTTGTATGGGCGGGTATATTGTATGGGTGGGTATATTTGTATGGGTGGGTATATTGTATGATTGAGTATATTTGTATGGGTGGGTATATTTGTATGGGTGGGTATATTGTATGGGTGGGTATATTGTATGGGTGGGCATATTTGTATGAAAGGGTATATTCTATGGGTGGGTATATTTGTATGGGTGGGTATATTGTATGGGTGGGTATATTTGTATGGGTGGGTATACTGTATGGGTGGGTATATTGTATGATTGGGTATATTTGTATGGGTGGGTATATTTGTATGGGTGGGTTTATTGAATGGGTGGGTATATTGTATGGGTGGGTATATTTAGTATATTTGTATGGGTGGGTATATTGTATGGGTGGGTATATTTGTATGTGTGAGTATATGGTTGAGTGGGCTCGTACGTGCGTACTGCAATGCTTCGCAAGGGGTGGAGAGAAACAAGTAACCGCCCCTGTTTGTACCACTACTATTTGTATACGTGTACAAGCGCAGTATATACACCCTTTCAAAACTATCACAAACCCAAACTCTCGATGGGGTATATGCCATATAAACGTGTTTCCACGATCCATACCCTCGGCGTCTCTCCTTGAGGTGTGAGTCCCATTGACAATATCTCCATAATACATACACTACACTCACCCCTCTCACAATGAAGTATAATCCAGATACGCACGCATATTGGCACAGGTCATACACTTACCGCGCCTGACTCCACCATGAACTTGATGACTTCCAATTGACCGCCGTAGACAGCGTAGTGCATCGCGTGCATGTTGAGCTCGTTTGTGCTGTCCAGGCCAGCCGTCTTGACTTGCTCTGCGAGTGAAGGGATGGTATATAAATAGAACCAATCTCTAAATAGAACTAGAATGGATGGGTATTATTGGTGGATTTACAACTAGAACTAGAATTCACTGGCAACCTTTGGTGGATACATATATAGAACTAGAATGCACGGGCAATTATTGGTGGATATATAAATAGAATTAGAAAGGAAGGGCACTTATTTTGGATTGACATTCTTGATGCGATCTTGTCGCGTAGAAGGATACATAACATGTATTACTTATGAGTTCTTGGCAATTGGATGTCCTTACAACTCCAACTAATAACCTTAAATGGCATTCCGCGTACAAGCGTGCACGTTTTCGTATGCATATGCAGCCCTGAGTGCTTATACATAACCACACAAGCACCAGCAGAGGACCTCCCATTGTACACATACATCACTCATTGCACACAAATACCACTACTACACCGCTCAACACACATACACATCATGCATAACAGGAGTCGAGTCGAACCATCACATCTCCTGTCACCTCTCGATTGCATACACCGCCGTGCTACAGACACATGTCTAGTCCACTTTTACCTATACAATACCACTACTAAACCGCTCAACACACATACACATCATGCTTAACAGGAGTCGAGTCGAACCATCACATCTCCTGTCACCTCTCGATTGCATACACCGCCGTGCTACAGACACATGTCTAGTCCACTTTTACCTACACATGACACCACTCTGACACTCACCCACCTTTGACCTCGTCCAGATCGCCTGTGGAGGCTGCATGGAACAGCACCACCTGGTTGTCCCATCTCACACGTGGTTTGGTGCTAGTGCGTTGTTCGTTCGGTATCGTATTGATGTTCAACAGCGACCCCCGCTTAGGCCTGGCTGCCAATAGCGGGGTGGGGGTGGTCCCGCTATTCGCTGCGCTGGGTATACCGGGACCAGAGAGAGGCTCGGTGGTGGAGGTGCAGGGTGGTGATGATTCGGGTATTGAATTGGGGTTGGGGCATTGGGTATTGGGTTTGGCGGGGATTTTGGGGGGGCTTATACTCGAACTGTTGGGGGTCAAAAGAAGGTCTTCGCTGGACAAGCCTCCACTCAGATTGGACATCAGGCCTTTGCCTTCTTGGCTGGCTTTGCGCTTCTGCACGCACGTGGTGGTGGAGATAAAGAAGTGAAGATTAGTGGGATATTAGTGCGGATTAACTTCCAACTACACTATCGATCAGTAAGTAATAGCGGTTTGCCTCTGCACACATGTCGCGGTTGGGATAAGAAATGGAGATTAGTGGGAAAATATTGCAAATTAATTTCTAACTACACTGTCAAGGAGTGAATAACAGCGTTTTGTCTTCTTGGCTGGCTTTCCATTTCTGCAAGCATGTGCTGGTTAAGAAAAAGAAAACGATTAACAGGGAACACTACACTGTGTTGTTCGATGAAAATTAGTTGTTGGTTGTTGCATCAAACGTACAGAGTTTAGTGTGATATCAGTTTGGTATTCGTGGGTAAAGAGCGCGTGATTGGTAGATAGGTATGGTGCAGGTAACGGGTCATACAGTTGAACGCACTCTTACCTCGCACCTTAAATGTACACCGAAACACAAAACAATTGACTGATATATATACACATACGCAAATGACTGACACATACAAAAAGTATATCGCTCGTACCTTGTATCTTAAATATACATATAGATATACACACAAATGACTATTATATATATATGTGTGTGTGTGTGTGTGTGTGTGTGT